AGAGTAGCAAAAAAGAACAGTTATACGGGTGAAACAACCCCCCCCCCCTGTCCCCGCCGCCTACCCTTCCCCCCTCGGGTTTCCACGCCCGCAAAACCGCCGCCAACGCCGCCGTCGGATACCACAGCTGTCGCCGTCGTCGGGGCCGTTACATCCCCGGCGACCACCCGCTGCTGCGCGTTCGCGTTGTTGGAACTCCCGCCGCCGCCGGCAGCAACAACCGGCGACCAGGAGAGCGATGCCGCTCGGGGCGGAGACGGCGGGGGAAACATCCCGGACTCTGCTCCAACTCCCCCTACCTGCTGCTGCTGCTGCTGCAGATGCTGCAGATGCTGCGGCTGGTGGGGAGATATGGCGGCGTTGGCGGTGCTCGAGTGCGACCGCTTCCGACCGACTAGTCGGGGCGGTACCACTGCTGCAGCTGCTGCTGCTGCTGTAGCTGCTGCTGTTGCCGATGTCGTCAGCGGGGTGGATGGGCCGGCGCCTGATTGGTCGCCGACTCCGCTGCCACTGCTGCTACTGATGCTGCTGCTTCCTATAGAGCTAGCTGCGCTGTCTACTACGCCGCTGGTGTTGCCACCGCTGCCGCTGCTGCTCACCATGTCACCCTGTTGTTCTTGCTGCTGTTGTGTTTACAAGACAAGAGAGAGCAGGGGCCGCGTCACAAAACAAGCGAAGAAGTAAATGAGTAAACATGCAGCAGTAGTGGTGTGTGTTAAAGGCTAAGGCCGCACGCGGCCTACGGATGTGGCCGGCCTTTTCCACGGGGAACTCGGCATTGCATATGACACAGCTTGAGAATTCCGTCTGTGACACCCCCTTGTCACAAGCCAAAGTTAAAACATAAAGAAGGATAGATCGTCGGCTAGCTCAACTACAGATCACCATGGAGCCAATGTTATGCATACACCTATATGTTGTATCACAAAGGACAATACTCTTGAAAATAGATATAAATATCATAGACAGCTCGAGCTGTAGGGAGCTGGTCTATCTAATCTGTGCAAGTCTTGACAGGGAGATGGGTCGTTCTAAATTTTGTTGAGCAGCTATTGTGGTGGCAAAACGAAAGGACGGTACACCAAAAGGCAGTACCGTGCACTGCTGTAAGTAGAAGAAGCGTCCTCTCAGCGACAAAATTAGTATCACTTTGTGTGTATGCTGCTGTGCGGAGGGTGGAGTATCTCATGTGGCCCTACTACTGTATCTCGAGAGTAGTGACACGCTAATCACTGTGTGTGTTAGTGTGTGGAGGTTGGGGTATCTCATGTCGCCCAACTACATTATCAAATATTAATGCTACCCGATACGTTCTTGGCGAATTTTGACCATCAGCACCGAGGTACCGTATATGACACAAGATAACACACCCCCTGGGCCGATTTTCAAAGCTCGATTTCTCAACAGCAGGAAGAGTCACAGCGCCGAAAACGGCGGCGTTGGAACCGTCTCGTCGAGAGGTTTTCGAAAATGTATTGTTTCGTTTATGCATCCTCTTCGTCGTGGAGTAATCGAGCTTTGAAAATCGGTCCAGGGGGTGTGTTATCTTGTGTCATATACGGTACGCATGTGAAGTATATAACCTTGTGTTGCACTTGAGTATTACCGAGAAGGATGAAGCTTCGATTGGCTGGGCGAGGAAGACAGGCGTTGATTGGTAACTTCTCATAAAATGAGCACAGCAGTGTCGACAATTGCATGAGAAAGGTGAGAATAAAGTGTTGTACAATTGTGGCAAAAAGCAATCAGCACCGAGAGCGGAGTTGGGCATCGCACGTCAGGAGTGTAACCGTGTGTCGCACATGGACTACCGAGAAGGACGAGATTGGCTGGACTACAAAGACCGGCATTTATTGGCAACTTCCAAGGAGCGCAGCAGTGTCGACACTCTCATGCGGAAGGCGAGAAAAAAGTGTACAGCTGTGGCAAAGAGCAAGCGACACACATGTTTCATGTGGCCAGCATAGTCAAAGAGACGGCTCGCCGCCAGCGAAATCAAAGTTCGGACTTGCAAATCATCAACTGTTCCGTGCCTATACATCCGCATACCAAGAAACATGAGACAAGCGTGTGACTGCATGGTAGCCCTGTAGCATCGTTGTTTCTGAACATTACTCGCCAACAACAACCAGCTACACCACCACCAGCAGCAGCAGCAGCAGCAGCAGCAGCAACAACAACAACAACAACAACAACAACAACACGACATGACTCTTCTCACCAAAGAGCGAGCTCCAAGCTCTCCCATCCCAGCGACACCCCCCCCCCCTCCAACCACCGCCCCCGTCCCGCACAGCACGCGTCTGGTCAGCTCCTGCGCCGCGGCCACACCTCCGACCCCCGCCGCTTCCAACGTCCTCATCTCGTGGCAGATCGTCAGAGCTCTCCGGGCGTCCTCGGGTGAGTAGCCGTGGACCTGACAACGCCAAGAGGGCCGCAGGGAAAAAACGGGCGGGAGGGGTGCCCATGAGCTTCAACGTTAGATGTGGTAAATGGTGATAAGTGTGATATTCAACGGTTCGATGTGTCACGAACGGACCCAAAAACAAAGGCGGGGAACAGCGGGGTGGGGATAGGGGAGTGGGGGGCTCGAGCGAGGTTCAACGGTTCGATGTGTTGAATGGGGGGATATGTGTGAGGTTTAACGGTTCAGTGTATCACCTAACGAACCCACAAAAAGAGGCAAGAGGCAGGGAACAGCGGGGGGGGGGTACGTGAAAGGTTCAACGGTTCGGTTGGATGTATTCTATGGGAGGATACGAGGAGTGACCTTCAACTGCTCCATGCGTTGAAAAGAGTTTAAGGACGGGTGAGGGGTTAATCAACAATACGTGGGCTCTCATTGGTCCCGGTGCCCGCTTAAGTGCGCTCGGCCTCATGCGACACTGTTGTAAAATGTAGGATAAGAGTAACTTGTATAATCCCTAAATTGGAATCCCTAAGTTGGACTTATACGTATTGTCTTTAGGCGTAACACTTGGGACCAATACGTAACACTTTGAATTCTTATCACATAGACACAAAGCTCTAGTCATCGTGTCGCATTCTGCATACAAGTAGTCCTGATGCCCCCTGAGTACATAGAGAGTGGCGATGTGTAGGTCTGGCGCATGCCGGCAAAACAGACATACCGTAAGAGGTGCAGAGGAACCTCCCCCCCCGGGACCGATTTTGAAAGCTCGATCGCTGCACAACCAAGCTTATCTGTACTGTACCGTATACCGTACAGTGGTGTTCCGTAAGAGTCGGAGCGAGAGAGAGAGGGCACCCCCCCAGACCGACTTTCGAAGATAGATTGCTCCACAACCAAGCTCATGCCAACACCAACAGTTGTGGTATTGGAAACATCCATCTCGTCAACGGCTTTCCCCGACCTGCCGGGCTCTTTCCGCACCACTTGGCCGCGGAGTAATCGAGCTTTGAAAGTTGGTGTAGGAGGGGTGTCATCTCTCTCTCTCCGACTCTTACGGAATACCACGGTACGGTATACGGTACGGTATACGGTACGGTACAGACAATCTTGGTCGCGGAGCAATCGAGTTTTGAAATTCGGTCTAGGAGGGGTGTCATCTCTCTCTCTCTCTCCGACTCTTACGGAATACCACGGTACGGTATACGGTACGGTACAGACAATCTTGGTCGTGGAGCAATCGAGCTTGGAAAGTCGGTCTAGGGGGGGTGCCATCTCTCCGCCTCTAACGGTATGTCGCCCACAAAGGCAAACCACGCCGCATGAGTGTCTGCAGAACAGAGAATAACCAAAAACGATCGAGACCAACCAAAACATTTACGCCAGCAGGTCAAGCCCACAACACACCGTTTCAATGCAAGTCGCCGGGGAAAGCAGACAGCAGTCCGGAAAAAAAACTGGCACACTGAGAGAAAATACAACAGCAGTTATACCGTAATGTCGGAGAGGTGGCACTCCCGTGTTAGCTTCATCCCTCTTCGCAGTCAGAGCAAGGCGGATCCACACTCGCTTTCTTCCGTACCTCCTCGTTGCTCGGTGCCGGAGCCACGCTCGAAATCTCTAGGTATCCGCCCGCCTCTCCCCGAGCGGGATCAGGACGAGGAACACACAGCGATAACAGCAGCAGCAGCAACGACAATCATCGTTGTTGCTGTTGTGTTGTGTTGTGTTGATCGCTGTACGGCCCTCGTCCTGATGCCGCTTCGGAGAAGGGGCGGGCGTACACCTAGAGACTTCGAGCCTGGCTCCGGCACCGAGCCACGACGAGATACGAAAGACTGCGAGTGGGATCCGCCTTGCTCCGATTGCGAGAAGGATGAACAGATAAGCATATTTCTTCACAATCATGGGGGTACTGCTGTACAATACCACTACCGAAAAGGCTAGGTGGTTTTGGAAAACATCTCGTCGAGGGCTTTCTCCCGATAGGCATCGGTTGGTGTTATTTAGGGTTGTGGAGAATACGCTATACAAAACCCCTAAACAACACGGGGGGTGCAATCTCTCCGGTTCTTACAGGAGTGTGCATACGGATGATACCACACCCTCTGGGCAGAACTGCCCAGCTGTGACGGGTGCCGAGCGTTCTTGTGGAAACCGTCTCGTCGAGAGCTTTCCGATAACTCGTCATTTGGCTCCGACACGGTAACCCGCATGAAACATACGGTAACCCGCATGAAACATACGGCAACCCACATGAAACCCACGGTAACCCGCATGACTATAACAAGAAACCACACGGCGCTGTCTACACATGGAGAGATAAATTCTGTAACAGCAAAAAAAAACATAGAAGAAAGGAAGACACACACGCATTCCAGTGGAGAGAGAGGGTCAAGACTTTCTTCACCATCAAGGGGGTTGGATAAGCAGACTCGCCTCTACTAGTGTGGCCAGCTCGATGGGAGAGAAGCAATCCTGCGGAGCCCCCGGGTCGCCATCATCATCACCGTCATCGGTGCTAGTGACTCCACCGCTGCCGCCGCCGCCGCTGCTGCTGCTGCCGCTCCTGCCGCTGGCCTTGGTGTTGCTGGCGTCACCCCCGTCACGGAGACGTCTCACCAAAATCTCGGTTGCCTGCATGGCGCAGGGGGGAGCGGGAGGGAGGGAGGCAGACAGGCAGACAGGCAGACAGACAGACAGACAGACAGACAGACAGACAGACAGACAGACAGACAGACAGACAGACAGACAGACAGACAGACAGACAGACAGACAGACAGACAGACAGACAGACAGACAGACAGACAGACAGACAGACAGACAGACAGACAGACAGACAGACAGACAGACAGACAGACAGACAGACAGACAGACAGAGAAAAAAACAGAGACAAGACACACACACAGACCGAGAGAGACAAGGGAGGCGCGGCGAGCCGGGGGGGGGGGTTCGCCGTTAGCAGAAACTCGAGCCCGTTCGTGGCTCACCACGACAATACAGCGATAGTTTCATCTACCACTTCGTACCTACAGGGCTGTTAGGGAGGAGGAGGCAACGGGAGTGTGCGGGTGGGTAGTGCGGAGCGTTTGACAATGAAGATCGCCTTCAGCTAATGAGGAAATAGAACAAAATAGAACAGCGAGGGGGTACGCAGATCCTATTATCCTAACCCTAACCCATCTAACTTCCCCCCCGACTGCTCGTTTGCTTCAAATACGTTTCAAGCACGTTTTAAACACAAAAAAAAACGCAAAGGGTAGATAATGGGACCGTGGCAACAAGGGAGGCCGTATCAAGCGTCTTTGTCGGTGGATGGACTACGTACTACCGTTTCTTTCTCGCGGAAGGATTCGGAATGTGCGAAGCACGATTTCGTAGGTGCCACACCAGAAATACAATACCGTAGGTGACACAAGATAGCACCCCCCTGAACCGGTTTTCACCGCTCGATTTCTCCGCAGCAGAACGAGTGGCAGCGCCGAAAACGGTTGCATTGAAGCTGTCTCGTCGAGAGCTTTCCAAACACATTTGGTTTCATTTATGCATTCTCCTTGTCCTGGAGTAATCGAGCTTTGAAATCCGGCCCAGGGGGTGTGGTATATTGTGTCATGTCATGTCACCTACGGTAGGCCTCGCTGAAAATGAACACAGGCGAGGCTCTTCTTGCCGCCCCTCCTAAGATCAGCAAGGGCCAGTGTATTTCTGCCTAGACATGTACTTCAATTCTTATTGGTACATAGTCATACCTAGAAGAACAACACGCCCTTACTACATTACCGCAAGAGTCGGAATGGCACCCCGGTGTTCTGTAGCCTGATGTTTTTAGCGTTTTCTCCGCAACTACAATAGGAGGGCGCGAACACCAACCGATACCTCTCAGGAAAACCCTCGACGACATGTTTCCAAAACTATACTTTCTGACGCTATGAATCCATTGCTAATCTGTCTCAGACTCTTTTCTATGATGGAGATGGTTTCGTTGTGTCATACTGTATTAAGACAAAAAAAAAAACTACACAGCCTATTCGACGGTGGTACCTCGCTGGTTGTGGAGAAATACGCGATAAAGAACGCGAACGCGGGGATGCTATCTCTCCTACAAACAAATACAATGTACGTACACAGGTAAATGTCTTCTGCGTGTAGACGTGTACTGATGTGCATACTTTTCAAGCAACAAACTGGACGCCGGCAATGACTGCTTCCCAGCACACTATTACAGTACTACTACGCTGCTCCTGCTATAATATGCTACTATTTACTACTACTGTGCTAACGTGCGTCGAAGGTATCTTTAGTAGTTACAAAGGTGGCGGGGGCTCCGCCAAAACAATGGTTGTTTCTTGTTTCTGGTGATGGTTGAGGGACTCGGTCCATCGGTCGTTCGGTCCATCTGCTAATACTGGAGTAGACTATGTAGCGCACGGAAGCATAATTGTTCGTTCTCTCTCCCATGCTGCTGCTGCTGCTGCTGTACGTACGATGGTGATATATGTCAAGGTAGAGGAGAAGGGTGCTGTGTACACCCCCCCCCCCGACAATTGCTTCTGCTGCTGCCTCACATCTCTCCTTGGCAACTAAATGGAATGGACCACAGAATGCTATAGCTCTTCTCGTCTGTACAAGGATGTGATGTACTATTCGCTGTAGTCCCATGTAGTCGGTCTGGTTTGAAACCCGCGTCAATGGACTCCTGTTCTCACATGGGAGCCCGCTTGTTTTCGTTTCCTAACCTCAGAGGCGTATGCATAAGACCGTTGTACACTAACCCACACACCACACAGGACTGCGGCATGGTGAGGACGTCATTGCTTGATCTACAGATAGACTAAAAACGAACCACGAAACCACGAAATGGACCCGCCGAAATTCCTGGGTTGATAAATACACAGGACTGCAGCAGTATTGTATGTACAGCAAATGCCACACTAGAAACCAGTATCAGCAGTTCATGAGGTTTTGCACCTCGAGTCCTGTGCCGGTAATTGGACCTTTGGGATCGACGTGTACAGCACCAATGAGTGTCTGCAGCAGAGTTCACCCCGTATTGGTGAGGTCAGAATGTGAGCAGCAGCAGCAGCAGCAGCAGCTACACAGCGTGGGCGTAATAATCTAAACAGCACAAGGGGAGTCAGCGCAAAAAATGGTTTTACTCTCACCTCGATACGACTGATCCCGGAAGCCATGAGGGCCGCCTGCTCCCTCTGCACGGCAGATTTAAACTCCACCTCCGCCGTAGCCAGCCTGGCCGCCTCGCTGCCGTGCTCATCGGCCCTGCTGCCGGCCGCAGCGGCGGCGGCGGCGCCAGCACCATTCTGCTCTTGACGAGGATGTCTAGGCTGCTCGCCGCCAGCTGCTGCCGGTACCATATTTTTCTCGGCTAAAGCCCCTTTGCTGATACGCAAATAAAACACCACTGCTGTGTGTCGTCACACGCTCTTCTCCTCCTCCCTCTTCAGGCGGTGTCGTGTGCTTGCGGTAGCTCTCTCTCTCTCCCTCTCTCTCTCTCTTCTCCAAATCAGCAGTCGAAGTACCAGCAGCAGATGATGATGATGACGACAATCTCTCTCTCTCCTCCAATTCGTCGCGTTTGGTCGGACTCCCTGTCGCCGTTTCTCTCGACCTAACTCTCTCGTCCAGCAGTACTAAGTAGCACTTGCAGAAGGGTGACTCCAAAGACTACACCAGCGTGCTCTGCGGCCACCTCTAGCTGCGCTGTCGTCTACGGCAGGTGCGGCAGGGAGAGAAGCTGTTCGTTGATGCCCTCTCTCAAGCTTGAAGATGGTGCTCTATACTGCCGCCGACGCAAAACACACACACCCAATTTCCAATTTCTGCAACTTTTTCCCACGGCGGAAGGTACGTCTCGAACTTCGGCGAGAGAGCGCGTGCCTATTCCGAATATGAGTGGCTCCTCTCCAGGCAAGCTCGCCCTTGCGATGGTAGGCAGGGCTGGACACTGCCGAACGGTAAAATAGCGCGCGGGAGTGCGGGTTCGTCTCACGTTGAGTGGGCAGTCACGTCGCGAGAGTGGTCTGTCGAGAGACGCGCTGTGCGAGGATGCTCTCGAAACAACAACAGAAAAAAAAAAAAAAAAAAGGAGCCCCGCGGAATACATGCACCCCCCTCTCAGCTATGCGGCAGGTTGGCTCGCTCGAGTGCCAGCAACAACTCAACGCACGACGCGCCGGTGAAACGATGGGATCGAGATGCACACACAGACAGGTTTTTACCCCTGTCTCACCAAATCCAGTCGGCAACACAGCATAGATACGCGCGCGATTGTTTTTTACTGGGTCCGCGCGTTACGGCATGGCTCCACACACGCAGAGGGAGTAATGATGTTGGATCAATGTACCACTGGTATTGGATTTGGGATACAACGTATGTATAATGGGGAGTTTCGGAACCGTGTTCGACCAAAATAGATTAGGTGGAACTTCTAGATTTAGGTGGAAGGGTCTAGTTCTGGGAACGTTCCTCAAAGCGGGGGAACATCGAGCTCCTAAATCTGGAAAGGGACTTTCAGATTTAGAAAAGTAGAGGCTTGGCGCCGCTTTTTTCTAAATCGAAATCGCTTTCAGGAGACGATATAGATTTAAGGAGGAAGGAGCAAAGAGACCCACCACCACAACAACAACAGCTGTAGTATGGAGCTCCAGGCACCACGGAAAGGTGCGGTTGTGTGGGCTCCATCGCTGCCAACGAAGAGAGGAGGTCAGACCTACACCTACCTGGGGGTTGGTTGCTCTGCGTGTGTGTGTGGAAGTGCGGTACGTATGAGGCGTGGAGCATTCCAAGAAAGAAAAAGCACGCGTGCGTGCGTGCGTGTGTTTGATCACCACCTGTCAGTCTGTTTTGTTGTTGCTGCTGCTGGGTTGTTGCTGGGCAAGAGAAGAAGCGACACGAGGAAAAGAGGAAGATCAGACTTGTCTAGACGGCTCGGCGATGAGCTCTACTATATATATATATGTAATCGGGGTGTAGTGTGTGTGTGCGTCTGCTCTCTTCTTGTTTGCTTCTTCCTCTCTCTCTCTCTCTCCTCTCTTTCTCTCTCCCGTGGAAAACGCTATTTCTCTCGTTCGCACACAGCAACAAAAGAGAAGTGAGGCTCTTTGATCACCCTCCTCCTCACAGATTGCACTGTTGGTGCAGCCCCTCAACTACATGCGTGCGTGGTCTGTGTCAACCTCCTCATCAACCTCCACACCGCCGTGTGTGTGTGTCTGCCGATGTGTGATGTGATGTTTCGATGCAGCAGCAGCTGTCCCTTTTTTTTTTTCTGCCGCCTTTCCGCGCCGGCGTGTTTTCTTGCCGCGTTCAACTCCGTGGTCTCCACAAAATAAAGTTCCGAGAACGTTCGTTACACCTAAATCGAAAAGTTGTCTTCCTAAATCGAGAAGTTGTTCCGAAACTCTCTAATGCTCGATCCTTTTTTTTTTTTCTCCGGCCCGCCGGTCGACACTCGCTCGTCTCGCTACAAGATGCTGCATGGGATAATATCTATGCATGCCACAGTGTCACGAATAAGTCTCTCTAAGTCTTGTCCCTACATTAATTTGCAGGTTTCCTCGGGGGGTTAATCTTCGAGTGCATGCGTAGGAACAGACAAAATGGGCACTCACAAAATAATTGCACACAACAAACAGGACATTACATTATGGATCACCACATGTATGTGAAGAGGGGCACAGACGAAACATACAGCAGTCGCCTCGTCTGTAAATTTGAACGCCAAGACATGCACTTATGTACCATGTGTGACGATGAATATAAAGTTCACAGCCCAGGAGGATAACCGAACCCATGGCAAATAAATGCATGTGATAGCGTCGTCACAGAGACAGGCTCGTTCCCGGCTGGCAGTGAGACAGGGACAAGACACAACGACTTTTTTGCAGAAGCGAGCGTAGGGATTTTCCCACCCGCCCGCGCTCGCCACTGCAACCAGCGAATCTTGTGCGTTTCTCCTGCTGGCCTCCCCAGACGGGGAACATGCCCCCACGCGCTAGGAACGTCAGTAGGCATGTAGGCATGCTCCTTCAGCCCATATTGATAAGGGGATGGATCATCATTTCGATGGCTATTTCGATCCACTGGAATCGGATACGCCTAAGGGGGCGTGTGTTTCTTATGTAGACAAATGCCTTGCTTTTTTCTTTTTTCCGCCATAAAACCCTGCCAGCCGCAACCTGTTGCATCTCCCAACCCATTCCTACCCAGCCCTATCTCCTACACGCCAAAACCTTATCACAACCCCCCCCCTGAAGCAAACCTATTTAGGCCTGCTGTCGTACCATGTGTACACCATGTATTAGGGTCACTCTTCCCTCTCCATTCCGAACAAAACGGTTAAGAAACCCGACCACAAGAGAAACCAACAAAGCGGCAAAAAAAAACATCACAAGAAGAGAATCTAACGAAACAGAATAATACCCGTCATCAGAGAAAAGTAACGAAACATAATACAGTACCCGCCACGAGAAAATAACAAACGGAATATCCGTCACAAGAGAAACGAACGGAGAAGTGACTACATACAGTAGCAACACGGAACAACCCGCTACCCGTCAAAGAGGAAACGGGAACGGAATACCTGTCACAAACGGAATCAACCACACGGTAAAGCCGCACAAAAAGGAATCGACGATACGGTAAGTCAACCGACCACAAGCGACACCAGGTACTGCTAAGGCTCTGGAACAAACTGCTTGCACCTGTTCACGCACGAAGAAGGTACTCTATCTACTGTATTCCTCGCTCGTGAGGAATGCTGCTGAAATACAATATTTCCTATCCCTTGAGCACACCAAGATAGAAGAAGTGCAGCAACAACAACAATGACTCAAGAACAGTCGATCCTCGTGTACACACACGCGGCCGAGAAATGTTGGCGGTACGTCTCATCGAGTGCGATGCACACCGGCTCTTTTGCTTCCAACCTAAACGCATTGCCTCCGATGCCTTCCCATGCAACCAAGCAGAGCATATAACGTCACAGCCTTCGGAACAAGGCTGTTGGAGGAGGAGGCGTTTTCGAGTTTTGACTTCTACACCGGTCGATCAGGGTCCCCGTTCTCTCTGGCAGTAAACTCATCAGATCAGTGCGGTCATCGATCCCCGACCATGCCAAAGATAATAACACCGAACGCAAGAATACACTTCTACCAGTCTGGGCTTTCTTCAATGTTTCCCTCTCTCAGACGAGACTACTGCTGCCGGTAGCTTCCCGAGGATGCCGGTCACGCCAATCAGCGTATCGCAGCCTCCGACTAAGATCCGAACCATGACAACAACTAGAGTATACCACGCGGGCTCCTTGTACATCATCATGGCGAGACTATCAGCGGCGACACCCTTAGTAGACCAAGTAGTACAATGTATCTCCATCAGGCGAGGGTTGCTCATCCGTGTGAGACTGTTGGCTTCGGCAGCCATCGAACATGGTCGGCAGCCGCCCAAGACTAACGCTATCAGCTGAACGCTATCTCTAACACGCAGGCTGCTTGGTAAACATCCGTACGATACTGTCAGCTTCGGCAGCCAATGAGCATCGTCGGCAGCCGCCCAAGACTAACAATATCAGCTGAACGCTATCCCTAACACACAGGCTGCTTGGTAAACACCCGTACGAGACTGTCAGCTTCGACAGCCTTCGAAGACTAACACTATCTCCTGCCGGTTGCTCCTCGTAAATCCCGGCGAGACTGTCAGCCTTCTGGTGGTGCCCCACCAACCCCGTCCGACCTTCGACCGCCTTCCACCAACACTAAATCTCTACCAGGCGGTTGCTCCGTGGTAAACCATCCGCGTGCGAGACTGTCAGCTTGAGCAGCCTACCAGGCGGGCTCCTTGTACATCCTGGCGAGACTGTCAGCCTCCCGGGGATGGCCCACCAACCCCGTCCGGCAGTCGACAGCTTTCCAAGACCAAGACTATATCTATCTGGCGGTTGATCCGTGGTAAACCACCCGTCCGTGCGAGACTGTAAGCTCCGACGGCCTACCAGGCAGGCTCCTTGTACATCCGCGCGAGACTGTCAGCCTCACGGGGGTTCCCCACCACCCCCGTCCGCACCAGGTAGTGCCGGAACCGACCTCCTCGCTGGCTACGACCCCCGCCACCACCGTAAACGCCTCCGCTGTAACCGCTGTAACCGCTGTTTCCGTAGGGGGGGGCACAGATAGCATTCTCCTGTCTGCGGTCGGCCTCCCCCTCGCAAAGCTGGGAGAGTGCCGGGGCTCTGTCGAGGGTGAGGGGGGCCGGCAGATGGGCCGATCCTCGGGCGCGCAGGGGCTCGTTGGACAGGGCCGTGCCCTGAGAGGTTCGAACGTTTCGGGATCGCAAACGCAGGCAGCGACAAGGTGAAACTTCGTTTGGTTCTACGGTAGGAAATACTTGAAATATATTGTATAACAAAATACCAAGAAATAAAGGCTACAAGGTTCCCCCTTCGGGACGTGGGTGTCAGGCCCCCCCGGGGGTGACGCAAGTAGTAAAGGAAGGTGAGATATATCTTAATGTTCGGCAGTGCTCGCCCCTACGTGGCCGTCAGAGATAAGTCCACATTCGAAGGGGATGGGTTGAAGTATTTTGAGTGAATGGAGAGACTCTTTGTTAGCGCGGGGGGGCACCGTCGATTCGCTAGCGAGGGGGCGGTGAAGAGGTGAACAGCATGAACAACGTGGGAAAAACTATCGCATGTGGGTAACACGTTGGTGGGAATTTCTCTTCGATTATTAATTCTACTTCAACGGCTGTTTCGCTTCAACCGAGTGGGCCTCACGATGATGCTTCTACCGCGCCCATCGTCAAACACGCAGCCGTTTCAACCTCAATCTCGTCTGCACACCGGTTACAGAGAGCGCTGAATTCTGGACATTGAGTTTCCTTCGGTATAATTTCAGTACTGTACACCGCGAGATCAGTAGCTCTTTGAGGTCAGGTTCACATCGACGGCGATGTCACGTTTGGAAGGTTTTCCCGTGAATTCCGACGAAAATAAGCCGCATTTTTCGGCCTTAACAGAGGTTTTGATGTCCGAAGGACTGCAGTTTCATCCACTTACGCGGTTCACATCGATATATCGAACTTGCTTCAGCATCAGCGTCGAAAAAAAGAAGAGCGGTTTCATTCATCCACCCGGCATAGCCAACAAACAGCAACCTGAGTCCCACATTAGAAGAGGCTAATTCCAATTTCAGCGGTTTCACGTCAGCAGCAGCAGCCGAACTTTTAACAGTGGTTTCAAAATATCAATGGTCTTACTCCAGCAGCACGGCGGGTGAATTTCAAGAGTGGTCATAATTTTGCAGCGGTTTCACTTTGAGCGGCGGGTAAATTTCAACCGCCGTGCAGTGACGGTTTCATTTTTCCGTCGGTTTTCCTTGAACAGCGCTTTCACTGCAGCCACAACGCATGTATGTACCCCTTCGCGAGCCGTGCCGATTCAGTGCAACCCAATTTCGCCCCAAAATGGTACATCTGTACACATTAACAGTGGTAGTTGTGTAGGGTACGCCGCACATGTCAAGCCGACAGTCTCGCGAGCAATTTCGCCGCAAAAAAACGATAACGCACCGAGCAAATGAAGTCCGCTCTGTCCCGACGGCAGTACGGCAGGCAGTGCCCCCGCAGAGCCATCGCCTGCACTGCCCCGCCTCCGGAGCCAGTTGCAACGGCCGCTGCTGCTGCTTCTGCCTTCGTACTGCCCCGGGCGTGGTGGGGGTCGGTAGACGGCGAGGGGGTGGAGCCTGCCGCCGTCGCGTCTTGGGAGAGCGAGAAGAGGCGGGAGCGCTGGTGGCCCTTCTCGCTGCAGACGGATTGGTACCTGGCAGGTAGAGAAAGTTGCGTGGGTGAAGGAGATATATAAAGAGAGAGACAATAAGAGAGAGAAAAAGAGAGAGGTAGAGATACAGAGATAGATATAGGGATAGATAGAGAGAGAGAGAGAGAAAGAGGGAGAGAGAGAAGAGAGTACGGAAGGACGATACGACAACGACAACGACAACGACAACGACAACGACAACGACCATACGGCGAGGCGGCGGCCCTTCTCCCTGCAGGCCGATCGGTATCTGCATGACGGTGTAGGTGCCAAGTGCCGTGGAGTGGTTTTGTAAGACTTAACGCCATTCGGGGTTCTAAGGTTTCGCATTCTTGTACTTGTGAAGAGATCGGGCTCGAGTTTCTTTCCAAGAACAATCCATTGCGACGGTGGAGGTGCTGACACTAGGCCTAACGAAAAAAACAATACAATTGGGGCCTATGAACACTTGATAGTGATAGCTGGTAGACCTAAAGTCCGTCGGTGAAACAATATACCACACCCTCTGGAAACCGATTTTCAAAGCTCGACTACTCCGTGACTACGAAGAGGATTAACAAACAAAACGACGCGTTGTCGGGGAAAAAGATCTCTCGCGACAAGACGGTTCCAAGGCCGGCGTCTTCGGTGCTGCCACGCCTTCTGCTGTGATGGAGAAATATCGACCTTTGAAAATCGGTCGTGCCAAAAGTTGTTACGAAATAATCCCTGCAAAAAAAATCATGCTCATACGAATTTCCAGCAAAACGACGTCCCACCCTATTGCCCAGAAAATGGACGTCGAGGGGGGGGGCATATGGCGTTTTGCGATACATGTATATTTGTGGTGGTGGTTGTTGTTGGGACGGTGGTGCTGGAAATGGTTCTGTTTGTTCTGCCGAATTGTATACCTGGTACAAAACACACACACTTACGTCGAGTCACCTACGGCCTACGGTATCGCCTTGCTCACCAGTTGCAGGCGCCGTCCCACAGGGCCCGAGGCAGGCCTTCCGCGTTGGTGCACGGCCCCGCGCATCCCTCGTCTTCGATGAAGCTGCGAAAAGATAGGCCAACAGTACAATAGCAGGTGGGTGAGGCTTCAGAAAACAATCCAGCTGTGAAGGCAGAAGAAATAAACAGCCCGCATGAGGAAGACGTGGAGAAAGGAAACGAAAAAAAAAGAAAAAGTGTAGCCTTGAATCAGCCCAAAAAAATTACCACAGTGTGGGGGGCCCGGTTTAGCGACCCCAAGTGTCACGACGAAAGGTGGCCGCTATTCAGGGCAGGTCGCGAAACCGAACTAACAATATTATATTGCAGTTTTACCGGCGTGCGGCGGTGCCACGCGATTTTGTGGTAGATAAACCGAGACCCCCACTGTGCTGTCCAGAGCGTGAAAGGAAAAAGAAAATACTTCTGTCCGGACCTACACGGTATCTACGTCAAAAACACGCACACACACACACACACACACGAACAAGCTCAAGACGACAACGACCCCCGCTCACCCGTGCACCACCCGCGCGTCCTGCGTCGGCCTAGGGGGCCCCGCAACCGTCAAGAAGTGGTCCCCCCCCTGCGCGGGCGGCGGGCCGGCCCCGTCCAGCCCCCTCCCCAGGCTAACGCCTCCGATGGCGTCGGATGCCGAGAAGGTGTCCGCCAGAGACCACGTGTCGGTGAGCAGGTAGGCTAGGCCCCGCTCCCGTTCCGCCTGTGCGGGCGTAGGGAGCGGGTACGGTACCGCCGTCGGCGGCTGCTCTGGCGGCGGTGGCGGCGGCGGCGGTGGTGGTTCGGAGATTTGGGAGATCTGGGAGATCTGGGAGACGGGTGCAGTTTGCGGCATTTCGTGCTCTGGCTCTGGCGCTGGCGCCGCTGGTGGTGGTTCGGTGTAGGAGGGGATGGCTGCTGCTGGTTCTGTCGCCGTCGATATCGACGTTGTCGTTGCTGCGGAGACTGATGTTTGTTCGGGGGTCTCGGAAATGTCGGAGACCGGGACGAAGAGCTTCTTTCCGGCCAGCAACTCCGCCGGTTCTGGTCCTTCTACTGCTGCAACGTTTGCCCCATCACCACCATCGTCATCACACCCGCCGGCGGGGTTCTGCAGGCTGCCGTTGATGTTTCCGTCAGCGGTAGCAGAAACATCGGTGGAGGCGTCAGCGGCAGCGGAAACATCAGCGGTGCTAGTGCTGTCGCCATTCGGTCCACTCCCTGCTGCTGCTGCTGCTGCTGCTGCTGCTGCTACTGCTCCAGCTGCTGACGTTTCCTCTTCTGCCTCAGCTGCAGCTGGCACCCTACCGTCATCACCATCACCATCATCATCGTCATCATCGTCCTCCTCGATGACCTGCCGCCTCCTCTTCTTGCCGGACGCACCCCCCCCGCCACCCCCACCCCCACCCCCACCAGACGATCTCTTCGGCAGCCCCTCATCATCCTCTTCCTCCTCTTCCTCCTCGTCCTCGTCCTCGTCCTCCTCCATATCCTCCATATCCTCCGACGACGATGATGATGCCGATGCCGAGGCTTCCCCTCCCCGCCCGTCCCCGCCGCCCGCTTCTCCCTCGCCGTCGTCCAACGGGACCCGTCCGTACCGACCGTTAACGACCACCGCCTCCTTCCCGCCGCCGTCGCCGTCGCCGCCTCCTCCACAGCCACGCGCCGCCGCCCCGCCCTCACAAACATTCCCCTCAGCAGCAGCGGCGGCGGCGGCGGCGGCGGCGGGATAATCAGCATCACCACCATCGACGGTCTGCGGACCGGTCTCCGAGGAATCCCTCCGCTTCTTCTTCTTCCTCCCCCGCTTTCCCTTACCACCCGGCGATGACGATGACGACGACGACGACTTCTTCTTTGCCTCCGGGAGCGGCGGGAAAGGCGGCGGCGGCGGCCGGTACCGGAGCATGGGGGCGTGCCTCCGACCGAACCGCCACCCGTGTTGCCCCGCCGCCGCCGTGGTCGCGATCACGGAGTCGCTCGCCAAGTCTCCGCCGGCCGCGCCGCTCTCCGCCACGACGACGACCGCGACATCTACGAAACCTATCTCCGACCGGGCGGGGGCGAAGGCCTCTACCAGGGTGTCTGATAGGACTTTCCCGGGGACGGCGACGTCACGCCCGAACCGTACGAGAACTCGCCGCGTTTTGCTCCTCCTAGTCTCGCCGCCGCCGGCGGCGTCGTTTGCGAGATGATCTTCCTTTTCCCCTGTTTTTCCTCCTGCCTGTTCGAGTTCTCCTCGGCCGGATGCCTCTCCGCTCAGGGCGTCGCCGCCTCCGCCGCCGCCGCCGCTAACGCTACTAGCACCGCCTTCAGAACCGAGCACAGCAGAAGCGGCCACATCGGCGGCAACGGGGTGCGCGAAGTTCCTCCCGGTGATGAGGACGCGGTGGCCTTTACTACTGCTCCCGTCCCTGCACGCAGCGGCCGCCGCCGCCGCCGGCTGCCGTGGCTCCTTGCTCCCGCCGGCAGCACTACCGCCATCGTCCCCACCACCGCTCCCGCCGCTTCCCTTGCCGGAGACCGCTGCGCCCGCGGGGCCCTTCCGATCGAAGAGAGGGTGGACCGTAACGGCTTCGACGGCGGTGGTATGCACGAACGTCGGGGACACCGCCCAGACCTCCGGCCACCGCCGAAAGAACGGCACCTCCCAGCGGCCATCGCCCCCGCTCTTCCCCCCTCCCAGGCTCGCGACAACGCTTTCCTCGGCGGCAGTAGTAGCAGTCGTTGCGCCCACCATTGCCCCTTGACCCTTTGTCGCAGCGATGGCGGTGCGTCCACGAGCCGCCGTCCCCGCCCCCGGCGCCAAACACGCCTCCGTCGCCATCCCTTGACGCTGTGCCGCCGCGGGGTGCGGTGCTGTTCCCACCGTCTCCGGCGGCACTGAAGACGCCTCTTTCATTGCCGGCGTAGCCGCCGCGAACGCTTGCTCGGCGGCAAGGGCTGGGAGGAAGGTGTCGAAGGCGAGGGCGTGCGAGGCGGCGTAGTCGCTCTCCACGTGGTGGGCCAGGTGGAGGCGGCAGCTCGCAATCGCCGATGACGAGGAGGAGGAGGAGGAGGAGGAGGAGGAACGGCCTTCGGAACGGTCCCCAGAACGGTCCTCGGGGCTGGAAGCAGCGGCCTTCGAACGGTTCTCGGAACGGTCCTCGGAAGGTTCCTCGGGGCTGGAACCAGCAGCAGACGAGGAGGAGGCCTTGGAACGGGATCGAGACGAGCGCCTGCGTTTGTTGCCTTTCGTCGCTCCTCCCGAAGCGCCGGCGGCGGCGGCGGTGGCGGCGGTGGCCGGTGAAGTGGCGGTGGGGGTGCTCACAGCTCCTTGCCTCGGGGAAGGAGGTGTGGGTTCGGTGATGTCGATCACGGAGCAATCGCCGCCAGAAGACGACGACGACGACGCCGACAACATCGCCTGCTGATTCGCCTGCCTTCGTCTGCCCTTGCACGCCTGCGTCGCGGGTCGGGTAGGATCGGATCACGGAAAATGGGTAATGAATGACGCCAATTCCTTAGAGAACCAATACCGGTAGGATCGGATAGCAGCATGGTAACAATGACGCCGATTTCTCAGAAGACGTAAAAAACAATTAGGCGTGCTTTTTTTTTTTACTCTCTCTCACCCTGGGAAGGGTCTACATAAGGGAGAAAAAATGCAGATCTGAGCGACCTTCTCACGACCTTTCCTTTTTCCCAGGCCGATTCATTTTTTGGGATCACGGCCCGATGGTGTGCTTCATGACCCGGTGGTGTGACAACGCCCTCAACCCTCACAAGAATATCAGAGCCCCCTTTACTAAGAGGGTCGAGGGTACCCAACCCTGCTGCAACATAGCGGCTCGAGTCCGTCACAAACGATTTCGACCCTCTTCTAAGGTACCCTGCACTACGAGCAGGAAGGTCTCGCTTAAGTTTGTTAGGGGTACCCTGCACTACGCGTATTCACTCTCTCTCGCTCTCCCTCTCCCTCTCTTTACCAAATAAATGAGGTCTTGGGGCCAATGTTTTCTTTGCATTCCTCTCTGACAAGAGGCGAATCAACTATCACACCTTTGAAGAGTCCAACGCTGGGTTAGCTGCGTCCCAAACACGACATCTTTTTCATGAATCTGGAAGAAAAAGAGCCGGTTTTTTGTCTCAACAGAAGGTTTGAGCTATTCATTGGTCGTGGTCCAATACCGTACTGTAAACGCACGAAAAACACGGATCCCTACTACCACACCATCCCGGATGTGGTGCAGTACCTACCGCTGAGCTATCCATCTGGCTCTTGAACCCAGCCTCCTACGCACAAACCAAGAAAAAATCAGACCATTTTTGGCTGTACACAAAAGGAAGGAATTACGCTAAATCACGCATCCTTACTACCGTAAGTATGTTAATGAATCACCTGGAGAGTGAAGAGGCAGGCCCGGAGGTCCCCCATGTGGTACTGCGCGAGGGCTCGAAGGGCACCGAGAGAGACGTCCAGCCTCTCTGCCGCAGCCACCGCCGTCAGGCATGCCTCCAGCTGTTATGTTATGTCATGTCATGTCATGCCATGTCACGCCACGAGACGATAGATGAGTCGTGCACAACACGGTGGTACAGCGTTACGCTTCGTATGCAAGGATAATGGACACGCCTCAAGCTGCCATGCCAGACAACTCGAAACGACGGTGCAATTTTCTAGATTGCCATACAATGAAGTGAGGCTTCAATGGCACAGGGCATCTTGAACGCGAAAAACACTGCGAAACACATTGTTGTACTGTACTCAAGTGCAGGATGACACTCGCGAGGGAGGTGCCAGATGTTGCACGAGAGGGTGAGAGGATACTGCAGGAGACGCGGAAAACAACCCGTAAAAAACAAACACGAAAAATTGCGTGTGACGCAGAAAAAACAACCCGCAAAGAAACAAACACGAAGACTGTTGCATAGTTGGATTTATCACTTTTGCGAAGGGTGACAGCACGTATTGTAGACGTAACAAATAACAACAACAACAACAACAACAACAACAACCTCTTGGAGGTCATGAGCCTCACCTCCGCCAGCCTGGGACGAGGCAGATGCCAGATGTTGCACGAGAGAGGGGCGTACTCGCGCCTGTAGGTCTCAGCCGTGAGTATGACGGGACACTTAGCGGCCCTCCGGAGGTCCCTGAGAGCACCAAGAAAGCCTACGTCCTCCTCGAACACCACGTCCACTTCCTGAAACATAAAAAAAAAAACGCACTTCGTGAAACATGATAAAAAAAAACACGTGACTGCCTGAAACTTGAAAAAAAAACGCAGTGCATTTCCTAACACATGAAAAAAAAACAAAACAGTGTACTTCGTGAAACATGGAACAAAAATACAGAAACAGTCCACTTCCTGAAACATGAACAAAAAAAAAAAGTGTACTTCGTGAAACATGGAACAAAAAAACAGAAACAGTCCACTTCCTGAAACAGGAAAAACAAAAAAGAAGGGACTTCCTGAAACTTGAAGGAAAAAAAACACAGTGCCCTTCCTGACACACGAAAAAAAAAAAAAAATCCACATCCTGAAACACGAAAAAAAGTGCACTTCCTGAAACATGAAAAAAAAAACAGGGCACTTTGTGAAACAAGAAAAAAAAAGTGGCCCACTTCTGGTAAAACCGAAAAAAAAAAGCAGGAGAAGCAGTGCCCAATCGAGAACCAAGCACACGTGCGTAGGAGCCAGCCAGTTGACAATTTTTTTTTCTTTTATGAAACCGTCGCCGCTACAGTAGGGTAAGGAGAAATGCAAGCGGACGACCAATCATTCACGAGCAGCACGGTCGATTGAAAAAGTGGGGCGGACCTTATTGTCTCGAACACCACGTCCACTTGCTGCACGTAAGAAAAAATAGAAGTGCCCAAAACGAGAACTACGCACGCGCACATACGCGCAACGGACTAAATGGTGAGAAACGGGGATGGCCAATCACGCGAGTGAGCGTGATGTGGCCTGATTGAAAACGTGGGGTGGAGGTTTGAGACCCGCGCGCCTCTCAAAGTCACTCCAAAGGTACAGCTTTTGTGTTACCCCACAGTTGGAGAGTGGTTGCACAAAACTATCCATGGGGAAAAGACGGCATTTCGAGGTAGTGCACTGCGGCTGTCCTGGTCGCTCTCGACGCAACAAAAAAGTGTGCATTGCTCGTCAGCAAAGAGTCCACCCTGCACTCCAGACACACATGACAAGGACAACATGTACGCGGACGGCCGAAAAAACGAAAAAACGTACCTCAAAGAGGATGAGGGTGAGCTTGTTGCCGGCGGGAGTCACCACGCGCATCACCTCGGTCCCCTCCCCCGCAACACCACCGCCTCCTTCAACCCCCCCCCTACCCCCCCTTCCTCGCCCTCCGCGTCCCCCCCTCCCCCTTCCCCGTCCCCTCCCCCTCCCCCTCCCCCTTCCGCGCCAACCCGCCGCAGCTCGGTCGGAGGGGAACATACCATCTAGGGGCGGAGATTTCCTGCCTCCCGCAACTCCATCGGTGCCTGTTTTTCATTTTTAAGTCATTTTTCGGAACAATAAGTGGGTTTCTTTTGGTACTGTCATGATTATTTTCGGAACAATACTGATTTTCTTTTTATGTATTCATGTTAATCATTTTTCGGAACAATACAAGGCGGCGATATACCGCGGGAGATAGAGCGGGTTATCTCTTGTGGGAAGCAACACGCCCACCAGACGAAACGAAACGAGAGCATACTTTCGGCGTACGGGGGACTGTGCGAATGAACATTTGAGTTGGAAGAAGGGGGCCCTGCGGCATTTGCCGGCAACGTCAACGAGAAACAGACGGAAATCCTGCTGTACAGGAGGGAAGGGGTTCAAATAGTTTTGTATTCTCTTACATACCTGGCTTGGTATGGGCGCTTGTCAGTACGTCAGTACGCATGGGGGGACCGTAGTTGCGGGAAAAAATGGTTGTGCAATTGCATGACTGACGAGAAACAGCTGATGGGTAGTGTACACCAAGAGCCTAAAATGTTGTGCATTCTCATCCACTACATACCAATGGTACCTGGCTTGGAGCTGGTTTCGGCGGAGGAGACGTGGTGGGACTGCGTCGCTTCGCCGAACAGCCTGCGAATGGCAGCTCCCGACCGCAGCTGGGAAGGGTTCACCTCGATAACCTCGTACCCTAACGCCTTAGCGCACCTGCATTGGATTGACAAAAAAAAACGCAAGGCATGACGAAGACGTTGCTCATTGGCGTGGTACTTCGTTATCGACAGCAGTCACGACCAATCACCCCAAGGGTCGACGCAAACTCACAGAAACGCCAAACGACATATACAAACACCCCCCCCCCTGATCGTATTCTGACGGCGGCTAGAAAAATAAATACAAAAAACACTGAGAGACTCATCTTTGCATGTGGATGACGGCTTCATTACTTCAATAAACAAAGCAATCGTGGCGTGTCTAATCCTTCTCGTTCTCTCTGTCTCTCTCTCTACTTGTCTGTTCCTCTCTCTGTCTCCCTCTTTCTCTCTTTCTTTTTCTCTCTACATCTCCCCCTCTACCTCTCTCTCCTCTCACCCGTACACAGCGCTTGTCTTGCCCACCCCCGGCGGGCCACAGAGCATGGCCATGTTGCACAGCCTAGCGTCCTCGTCCTCTTCCTCGTCTGAGAATCGCACCCAGTCGTACTGACAACAACAAGCAGCACGGTGGAATAGACAAAAACGCATCACCACATACTGCTTTCAGGTGCCCGATAAAAAATACCACTTGTCCAATCAGACATCACCCGGTCGTACTGAACAATGGTACAGCAAGACCATGAACGATGTCATGGACAAGAAAAAGCATCGCGGTGGATAGCTCATCTTCGACTCTTCTATAGCCGCGTGTGCATGAGAGCCTTTCCTCTCTCCTTGAAACAGAGACTCGATCATCACACGGTACTGCCATTTACTATTATACCAGGTATGCATATAATCTACCCAACAAACTACCTCTGAATGTAGACTATTACAAGAAAAGCCAGCCCGGTGGAACAGAGAAACCGCATCATCACATACTGCCTTCAGGTGCCCGATAAAGTATACCACTTGTTCATGAAGAAATCACCCAGTCATGACTGCCAACAACGATCAACACGTTGTAGCGGGAGAAAATAACGCCACTTCCTGAAGAAAAAAAACAGAGCTCCAACAGCAACAAGAACAGCAAAGCTTGGTTCCATCTGTACTATTTATTGCTGTTTGTTCTGAAAGAATAAAAAAAACACACACACACATACACATATTTTCGGTGTTCATGAAATTATGAAGATTTTTTCGGTGTTCGTGGAATTCTGGACATTTTTTCGGTGTTCGTGCAATTCTGAACAGTGCACCAAAAGATCGGGTAAAACAATAAAAAAGACCGCCCAAGAGGAAGCACTTGATAGTTAGCTCACCTCTGACTCTTCCCCAGAGTCTTCTCCGCTACCCGGGGATGGACCGGCTCCGTCCCCGCCCCTCCCGCGCTTCCGCTTCTCCTTCCATTCCCCCAGCCACTTGGACAGCGCCGCCATCTGCATGGCGTTGCCGCAGACCTCGTCGGGGGACCGCGGGCGGTACACCTGGAAATGGCAGCATTTGATTGGTAGAGAGTTTTGGTACATAGACGAAACGAGGCATTTGATTGGTCAAGGGTTTGAGTGCCAGACGAAAAGGCAGAGCTTGATTGGTCGAGAGTTTTGGTGCCTAGACGAAACGGAAGCATTTGATTGGCCAAGGGTGCGGGTGCCGCAAACCTCGTCGGGGGACCGCGGGCGGTATACCAAGAGATGGAAGCATTTGATTGGTCAATCTACAGTACTTGTACCTACCTCTGTCCACAGGGCATCCGCGTCAGCCTCCGCCCGCCTCGCCCTGGCAGTCTTCTTCATCCTCTCCCTACGCCCGGACGAAATTATCTCCTCCTGATCCTGCTGCCCCTGCTCCTCTTCCTCCCCCTTCCCTCTCTCAGTCCAGGCAACTTCTTCCCCTGCGGCGGCGAGAGCACCCCCCCCCCCCCCCGGGGGGGGGGGGGGGGGGCTTCCTCCCCTGGCCCTAAAGGAAAACCCGACCGGCCCCCAAACCAAAGGGGGGGAATTTTCAATGGTTTTCTTTCGCGAAACCAC